GAAAGAAAAGCCATCTCCTAGAAGGGCTGTATCACAAGGGAGAAGGATGTAGCACCTCCAAGACAGACCAGTCATTAGGATGAAGGGAAATAATGTTACTCATCCTCCATTATCCTCAAAAGGAATTCTGCAGATAATGAATTGGCTAATAAAGTCCAGGGGGAAGGCTGTTCTCCCTGACATGGCTGTACATATTCCAATGCAATGCCATGTTCACATCTCCTGTATGAACAGTCTGCCTCTAGCTGGGCATGTTTCAATACTTTGGTGAGCAGACTTTTCTCTGCTTATCTCTCTCCATACTTGTATCTCTAAGGGTTGAGTGTTAGCCACTCTGAAATGGACTAGCAAAGCCTAACCAGCCTTTGCAATTTAGTGATTTCTAGGAGATACATAGCTTGGAAAACTCTGAATATTTTCTATTGTATTATATCCTTTTATTAAATAATGAACCAGTATGCACAAACGAGAACAGAAATTACAAAGCAGTAATTCCAAGTGTCTGTGTATGTATACAGTATGTTTATGTGCTGGATAGAAGGAAAGATGGTGGGGGAGGGAAGTACTCATTTGTTTCTCTAATGATTCCTCCCACCAATGCCAGACTGTTCCTTCAAGTATCTTTAGATCAGTATTATTATCATTATTCACAAATGCATAAGAATTTTTCTCCAGATGGACTAATTGTTAAAGCAGGCAACCAGCTAAGAGAGATTAATTCTTATCTTTCAGTTCAGAAAGTTTGTGAGGAAAGAGAAGAACTTGTTCGGAGAGCTTTAAAAGAAGAGGAGGAGAGGATTAGGAAAAGATACGAACTAATCCAACAAATACGAGCTCTTGAGTCTTTACCCATCATCAGACACAAGTTTGTTGACTTAACAGAGGTAAACTCAAAAGAAAAAAAGTACTGTGTTTACACAACCATGTAATGTATATGTTTCACACATGGAGAGGAATTGTGTGGTGCAGGCAGGTGTCACAGTCTGGATGCACTCAGTACAAAGTGACCCCATGACACAGAAGTTAGATCTGAAATGGAACATTCACAAAGTTTATAAAATGAAAATTTTACCAAGAATATTCTGGTGGTAAGTGAAGTCTTAGTCCCCTTAAACCTTCTTTGAATTTTGCCAATAGGATCTGAGTTTCCCAATATCTTCCCAGCACCACTACTCCTAAAGGATATCCCCAAGTGCCACATGCAGACACCAGGGAGGTTTATATTGGGTATTGGGAAAAATTTCTTCACAGAATGGGCTGTCAGGCATTGGAAGAGTCTGCCCAGGGCAGTGGTTCAGACACCATCCCTGGAGGTATTTAGAAGATGTGGCACTCGGGGTCATGGTTTAGTGGTAGACTTGGAGAAAGGGAGAGCATATAGAAGAGCAAGGGCCAAAAACTTCAAGGGTTCACAAAGCTGTTTAGAAATGATCTGTCTTCCTATGCAAACTAAGGTGCAGAAGTCTCATTACATCTCAGAATCAGCCTCATTATCACTCTCATTGCTAAGTGGATATTAAAAAGCCTTCATTAAACATTCAGGTTTTGGGCATCAAGAGCTGAATTTCCTGGGTACAAAGCAGTGTTTAGTCCTAGACTTTTCAGATAGAAATAGTAGATGCCATCATAGATCAGATCGATACTTTGGAAATAGATAAATACAAAAAAAAAATGCATATTTTTTAAGAGTAAAGTCTGTTCTGGTTTTACCAATAAATTTTTTTAAGTAGTTTTACACATTTTTAAAATTCAAAAGTCTAATTAAAACTATAAGTCAATTAGAATCTTTTTGCAGGTCAAATAAATTGTATTTATGATTAACCTTCTGTGTATTTCAATGGTTTTTCTTTAAATGTTTTCTGAGCATACATATGAAAGATCAGCTCTACACTTTAAAACAGCTTTTAAATACCAGTTACTTTAGGGCCATCCCTAGATTTCTGGAAGTCAAAATATATTCAACATGAATTGGAACACAATCAAAATATTCTGGGTTTACTCATTTAGTCTCCCCTTGGTATTTACAGTGTTATTTAAACCTATATTTCATGTTCTCTAGACTGGTGGCCATGGTTTAATTGGTGAAATGTCAATAGTGGAGCTACGTGAACGCCTCGCTCTGCTCAAAGAAGCACAGAAGGCAGCAGAGGAAGAGAAAAGAGACCAGATAATTCATGAAAAACAAGCTAAGGAACAACTTCTTCTAGACAAACTGGACCAGATTTCCCTGTTCAGAGCAGAACTTGGACGAGCAGCTGCTTTAAAGTCAGTATAAAACAGCATGTGACATTTAACACATTGCAACTTTGCTAATATTTTGCTAACCCCTTGAGGAGAGAACAAGTAGAGAGGAAAATATTGCCCTTCTGCAAATCAGTGTGACTCTTGTCAGGGATTACACTGGGGCCAGGGTTTCCTTTTTAATCCTGAAAATAATTTGCATCAGATTTAACAAATCTTTTCCATCATTTATGGTTGAAGACACTCTGTAGGCTAGTCTTGACAGTACTGCCCCAGGATTCAGAGCCAATAATATATATTTAGAAAGAAGTTTTGCCTTTCTTCTGTTCCTTTTCAGCTAATCAGAACTAATTTGATGTTATTAGAATCATTCTAGCTTGCCACTTAAAGTGGTTTCTCATTTTCATCTGAACCAATATTAGGGCTGTAGTTTTCTTCCTTGAATTTCTTCTGCAGTGTGGAAAGACAGGCATTATCCTCGAAGATAAAAATATTTCAGGAAGGTTTTTCTGATAGCAATAATAAGTTATAAATTAAATATATTATAGCAGTGTATCAAAGAGGAAATTCTTGGCTTACAGGCTCTCTGATCAAATGCTGCATTCATTACTCATATTTATTATGAACATATTGATTATTGCTTGCCGTAAAAGATCCGTAACTGTCATAGATGGTTTGCATATGCAGAAGACAAGTCCCTTCCACAAAGGGATTAAAAACTAAGTTAAAGCTATTTACAAATCATAGAATCATAGAATTAAGGGTTGGAATGGACCTTACAGATCATCCAGTCCCAACCCCCTGCCCTGGGCAGGGACACCTCCTCACTAATCAGGTTGCTCAAGACCTAGAACACTGCCAGGGTTGGGGCAGTCACCACGTCCCTGGGCAACCTGTTCCAATGTCTCACCACCCTTATAGTAAAAGCCTGTTTTCTAATATCTAACCTAAACTTCCCTTCCTTCAATTTGAACCCAAATAAAGCTAAGCAGGAAGAAAGTCTGTGTAATATATGCCACTTTTACTGCATCTTGAATATTTGCTACTGGGTTTTTTTGCAAGTTGTCTTTCACCTTTTGCTTCTTGTGTGTTTGAGAGGTTAGTTCTTGTCTTGCCATATTTATTTTGCAAACTGATGTTCAGGCTGACATTCTGAAGACATATTCTATCAGGCTACAACATGTGTTTAGACGTGTCTTAGATTCATGTTTATTGCAGGAGGTGCTTCTTAGAGTTATTGATTTATCATCCAGCTCTATATCTCAATTACAGCAGGCAGTATTGATGTATTAATTCAACTAGTTTTCACTAGTCTCACCTCTAATTTGGTTTGTTGCTGATAGTTAATCTCCAAAGACTATGGGTTTGCTCTGTTAGTACTTAAGAAGATAGTTTAATGAATATAATGAATCAATAACTGCAGCTGCAGTGGATTGGCTGCACAGATCAGTGAGCCTCTTTTCTATGGTATGTATCAAGAACAGATTTTGAGACTGAAGAACTTGAAATGGAGTTGGAGCTGGAAACATACTCTGCTAAACATTCAGCATTGTGAAAACCTGTGGGAGCAACTCAAGCCACTTCTTTCCACTAGAGATGCAAACTAGGCATTAAGAACTTGTGTACTACATAAAACCTGTCTCACTAATAACTACTTCAAGAATCACCTGTTATGCAGTCTGTGAGTTTTGTACAGGGCTGGGTTCCTTTAAAATAGACTCTTTGTTTTAGTTCAGGTCTAAAAGTGTTCTGATCCTGCAACAAGCCATACTTGAATGAGAAACTAACTTTGATTCATTTTTTGTCCTGACATTTGAAGTGTTTTTTAGAACAGAGCAGCATGACAAAGACAGTAGAATCCAAATGGAGTTAAACACTAACTTTGCAAGCTTCTAGTCAGACTCATAAGTAATACAGTAATTTTAATGGAGTCCTGTTTGCTCTCCAGATAAAGAAAATTTAATGATTCACTGTAGACGTTATAAGACATTTTCCTTTCATGGCTCCTAGAAAATCTATGTATGTGACTTGGAAGCATCTCCTATAAAAAGGCATCATCAAAGTAAACCAAATATGTTGTTCTCTGGGAGTGTATTTCATGCATTTTCATCCAGAATGCAAATCTCTGGTGCTATTTCTGTTAATACAGAAATACAGCACATTGGCCATAGCATTTACAAATGCTAAGACACTTGGATGCAGCTTTTATTTCTCTCTATACCAACCGTAGGCTTCATGTATTAAACCTCATTTGCAGATCTTGAATCTTGATCAATCTATCAAATCAGTGTGAGTGATTCATTGCTTGGGTTGCATTCTTGATATACTGCACAGGAGATGTAAAAAAGGAATTTTTATGTTTACAGAAATAATCCATCATTATAGGGATAGAATAGTGAATCTTACCAATGGTCCATCAATATAAAATCACATTTTATATTTAAATTGCATTATGTCAGAGGCTACTGATTAGCTAAAGTGTGGCAGCAAACTTTGCTCAACAAAGGTGCTTTAGTCAGTGCCAGCTGGAATGTAATCAGGTCCCTACCAAGCAGGTTCCCTTCAGTATCATTTACAAACACACATACATCTACACAAAATAAGCATATTGAGCAAGTATATAATGAGCTATATTAAACAAAATAGGAAGTGGAACATGAAAAATTAGAGAGACACTGGCCTTTAATAGGCTGCAAGCTGTGACATCCATCACGGCAGTGGCTCTGTGAGTGCTTGCAGAACACTAAAGAATCAATTCAGTACATTTGCAGGATGTCCCTTTAATTGCTAGAATTTCATACGGTTTGAAAATCAGCACTGGCATATGAAGTGGATGAACATTTGAGTTCTCAGCTTTTGAACCTGAGCACCAGAAGATTTATGTGTGTTTGAATACGTGCTGATGGACTAAAGTTGTATGCCTGGATACTTCAGGTACAATTCATTCCACTGAGGATATACCTCTTACTGCAAGCACTAAGAGCCAAGCAACAGATCAAACCAGTTTGTGCTGAGGTTCCCTCCATCCACATTATCTATGGTTTGGGGGTTTTACTTTGTGTTGGACTTAGTGTGGTCCTGGGACTGCAAGCTCCCACCATTCATGTGGTTTAAAGCTGTCCAGAGGAAACTGGCACTAATCCTCTTGGACTTCCTTGAGGGAGATGTCCAGACTGCCACGAACTCAGGAGTTCACTACAGCCCCATCTCACAGCGTAGTAAAGGTGTTGAACACTGGGTCTCAGCACTGCATTACAAACAATGGTTTGTTTGCCAAGAGGGCAAAGCACTCCTTTCTCTCCCTGCCCCTGACAGTGCTCAAACCCCTCCTTGACAAGGGGCACTGACCACACATCAATGTGACACCTCTCTCCTGGCCTGAACTGGGGAAGGGTGGATATAGTGTGAGGGCAGCCAGAGGAGGAGGACAAGCAGAAGGGAGGGTTATGGATGAATAACTGTGACAGTCCTATCCACGCAGAATTTCCTAAAGCAGGTCTTCCCTAGAGCTTCCAGGTTCAAAGACCTTCTGGGTGAGGATGTATGCTCTGTCTCCTACGAGTACTGAGTCAGTTAAGAGCTGTCATACATCTGTCTCCATATACTTTTGATGCAAAGCTGGAGTTTGAAAATGCAAATGAAGAGCAAAATGTAGTTTTTAGGAGGAATCTGCTGTGCAAATCTTCAGATTCCCCATTTTTTAAACACAGCTGAGAAGACTTTTCATAAATCATCTCATAATTTTCTGTTGAATCTGGAGAGGATTTTTCTAACTGTGTACTAGCCCATTCTGACTGGCTGTTACCTTTACTCCTTAGGAAATATCGGACAGGAGGTGACAGAGATCATAAGAGGTTTTTCTGTCTTGAATCCTGAAAGTTCTCAACTGACTATCAAAGAAAACCAGAACTTAAAAGTTTCTTTTTTCATTCCTTCCCCTCTTTGAGTTTCTGTTATGATATGGTGTGGCATCTGAAAATTATGGGATTGGCATCTTTTTGGCATAGTGTAGATGACTGGCACATGACTTCATGGAGAAGAGAAATCAATATTACTCTGGGGATAAACAACTATTTACAATGTTAATACAGAAGCAGCTGCTGCTGCTTCATGATGTTAAACCTCTTGCTGTACAAGAGTAATTGTATTTACAAGAATCTGGATTTGCATGTAAGGAAAGGTTTTGTTGCTTATTCCCACTGACAAGATTTAATCATGAAGTATTTGCATAAAAGCTTACTGTTATATTCTCTTCTATCCTTTGGAATGCAATGCCTTGATACAGTGCAAATAGAAATAAACCATGTTCTCAATTAGATTAAGTGATAGTACATAATTTTTAGATTTACAGAAGAGTGTTAAAAATTAATCCCAGTGAAGCAGAGTATATCACAGTATTAAGGAGGATAAGGAAATGTTATCTTAACCACATAGCACAACAGGAGCAGCAGAGAGGTTCAGGAGTGTCTCAGGAAAGCAACTGGAAACGAGAAGCCAAGCTAAACCTTTCCCCTTTTTTAGAGTTCACAGCCACATTCCAAAATGTAACACAGGTCATATCTCCCCTTCACCCACTGCCTGAGGATCTGGGGACCCCTAGTCCAGCAAGGGTGCTCTGAGGAATACCTGCTGTCAGGGAGGGTTTCCTGTTAGCCAAGTTGAAGCTAACAAAACAAAGCAGGAAAAATCTATCTCTCCCAAGATGAAAGAAGTGTTTGGATCCCTGGAGTCTTGATACAGACAATTTTTTAAAGCAAATTGGTGTCTTTAGCATCAGAAGGAACTTATACCTTCTTCCCATCTTCTAGCTCCTTAAGAAGAGTCTGTCTTATACTGAAAACTCTTGGTGTGAGACCTGAGATAGAAGGGAAGAGTTCTGTTGTAAAACATTTATTTTCAAGAGGCAAATTGTATGTGAAACTAGCCCTGCCACTGGTGCATTCTGCTCTGGGTCATTTGGAGTCTTTATCTGGTTTCCAACAAAAGCAATTGTAATGTTGCTCCACTGCAATATTAAAAGACCTTTTATAAAACTATCCCTGCCAGCTTAAAGAAGGCACCAGATATAACCAGGTCACAGATTATGTGTACATTCTTTGGTAGATCTGACACCTCCTTTAGTTGTGAATTTGTCCAGAGAATCACAGCTGCTCATGACATACTAACAGTACAGCTTGATATACAAAGGCAAATTCAAGTTCAGTGTTGAAAAAAAGAGAAAGTTGGATGCTAAGTGAGTCCCTGTGTAACATGGTGTAACCTACATGAAGAAATTGTGAGTAAATTGTGCCAGTTGGGTGAAAGTAAGCAAAACCAGATAAAATGTATATTCCAGAGGACAGAAAAGTGGCTACAACAGAATGGAGAAAAAAAAAAGGAAGACTATTGGAAAACCTCTCTCTTATGACTTGCTGTTATGCTGCACATGCTGCTATCAATTTATGCTCACCTAGAGCAGCTAACCTTAATTAATACATCACCATCCCATTGATTCTGTATCTGGGCATTGGGATTACACAGAAAAGAATGTCTTTCATTTGCCAAGGAATACAGCAATCAAGATGAATACTAATGATCATATAAGGATAACTCTATAGTTCTCACAAGCAAAGAGCTGCAGTACTATCCCAGGGTTTGCACGTGTTTTCTAAAGAATCCCATGTCAGGCCTGAAATACTTCAGATATTGTCATCATGGCATCCTGTGGGGAAAAAATTATTCTACATGATTTAGTAATGCTGTTCTGTAAACAATGAGAGGCAAGTTGTGAATACCACATGCAAGTTGTATGATTTAAACCTGTTTTGAGTCTAGCTGGTTCCCAGAAGTAAGAGCAAATTCATTATTATCAAGGTAATATATGCTCAGATGGATTTATTCTTTTATTATTTTACCTGCTGCTTTTTGATTTTGCAGGCAAGAAGAAAAGAAAAGAAAGCCCCAGAGTGGTGAAAGGCTCAGGAAAGATGAACGCATTTTAACCTTGCAGAAGAAGATTGTAGAAAGAGCAATGGAGCGTAAAAAGCAAGCAGAACTCTTCAAGATTAGTGCCCAGAAAACCAGCATCGCATCAAGGAAGGTCTGGTCATGACATAAGGAGAAAAGCTCTGCAATAGACTTGCTGTTCACAGACCTTTGCTCAAGTGCCAGCACTGGCAAGGGGGGCAGAGGCAGATGGTGCCATGCGTGACTGGCAGTAGCAACACCCTGATTCCTGCAGGGGCACAACTCGTCCAGCCCTGGCCTTGACCTTACCTTCTTGTCACACATTCTGCTGCCACGGAGCAGGGCTCATCCATGCAACACCTGCCTGCCCACTCTTATCACCACACACGCTCATCCCATCAGGACAGCATCTTACCCCGTCTCTAACTCTTGTCTTCCTCAGCTTCCTATCACACACATCCCATTACACCAGAATGGTATGTTCATCCCCTCTCTCACCCAAGGCATGTTACAGATTATCATTCAAGGTTCAAGTTGAAGGAGTGGAAATTTAGGCTAGATATTAGGAAATAGTTTTTTCCTGTGAGGGTGGTGAGACACTGGCACAGGTTGCCCAGGGAAGTAGTAGATGCCCCAACCCTGGCAGTGTTCAAAGCCAGGCTGGATGAGGCCTTGAGTAACCTGCTCTGGTGGGAAGTGTCCCTGCTCAGGGCAGGGTGTTGTGACTAGATGATCTGTAAGGTCCATTCCAACCCCTAAAATTCTATGATGATTCCCATGGTTTTGTGGAGTGGTTAAGTCATCTTAAACTGGGCAACCTACTCAGGTTACCTTTCTGTTCATCACACCTAGTTTGATGTTGACAAGTTTCCCAACCGTGTTAGCAAATAAACCATGTCAGCCAGCAGGATTATCAAACAGAAATTCAGTGTGTCCTCTAAAGAGAACCACTGTGTTACCGGTAGTCTGATCATCTGTGTGTCTTTCCTGCAGGATTCTTGGCAATGGAACCATTGGAAAGAACTGGAAGAGAGTCGGGAAAGACAGTTCAAAACCCGTCAGCATGGCTTCATGGCCAGAGAGAAGGGCTGGCTGTGAGGCAGCGAGACGCGGAGCTGCAGCCTGCATACTGCGCACTTAACTGAAATAAAACACATTTGGAACAACTCAGGCCTGCTGGAAATCTCCCAGTGTAACTAGTTAACTACAAGGTTGAATTTCATTCTTTACTTCACCTTTACAGTGTGATTAGAAAAATGTGGGTCTTGCAGGCACAATAGAATAAAGAAGAGGGGTGTGTTTGTTGTATAATTTTATATTGGTATAATGAATAATTATTATACAATGATTTTTTCTATGCTTTAAGAAACTGAAACCTTATTGTCAGAGCTCCTACAGCAGAATGGCAGATATCTAGGTAAGAATGTTGAGACCTGTTGTAGAGGCCCAGAGAAGGTGACTAGTTGCAGGGTGGATTGTGGTGGTGCATCCCCTGCCGCAGGCCACGCTGTGTCCCGAGAAATGCTCATTAGGCCTCGCCCTTGATGAACTGCACCTGGACTAAGCCCCTCTTGAGCTTGTCAGAAACACTGTCTGTTCCCAGGAACATGTGCTGTCTAACAAGCTCCTGTTTTTTAACAAACAGCCTTGGAAACTTATTTTTCTTATCTGAATAAGAACCCAAGTGGCATACTTTTGTTATGGAACCAGAATGGATAACTACTCTGACTAAAGCCCACTCTCTTGCAACCCTATAAACAGCAGTCCTAAGTGAGAACTTTTGAGCTATTGATTCCCAGAAGATAAGGGGGTAATGTGTATATCTCAAACACCAATAACCAGATGGCTGTGGAGCCAACCAAGGAGCGTTGGTATTAACATGCTGTGAGAAAGGACAAGATTTGGCTGGAGAAGGCAGGCCCTGTGGAGAGAAGAACCACACGGTACAGGGCAAGCACAGGAATGAGTCAAGAAGTGGACATGGACTGTATGGGTGGATTAAGACCACCAAAGACCCCTGAAACCCTCCAACCCATTTCCAGGAAGACCTGAAAGAACGGACTGTGCATGATAACTAGTTTACCCAGAAAGGCAGAAACCTACTCTCCGGGGAGAGAAACCTGTCCATAAAATGGTGTCCCCCCAAGCATTGGGGGACCATGGACATCTCATGTCCTGGGCCAACACAGCTGGATCAATGCTGAAGCCAGGATTGACATCCCATCAATGGGATCAACACTGGAACCAGGAGTGGTGGTCTCTTTTTCTCTCTTTTCCTATTTCTTTTTCTCTTTTTTTCCTCTTTCTTTAATTCATGTCTTATTTCCCTCTTCCCTTTCACCCTACCCCTTTATCCAAAACTCACTGCCATGTGCTTATATAGTAGGTCAGGGACTAAGACACCAATCTCCAAGCCAAGTGTGTCTTTACTAATAAAACTTCATTGATTGTCTGTGGACCCTCTGAGTTTTTGTTGCTCCTTTTGACCATGAGCATTTACAAATCTCAGGTGCTTCCTCCCCCTTAAGGGTGAGTCATCACACCTGTATTTCTGTTAGTGTATACTGTGCCATGGTTTGCTACACTCATCTTCCAAATTAATAAAAATGAGGGCCAAAACCAAGGAACATTTGTTTCCATATGCATCTTTTCAGAAGGCATGGTCTGCCCAAGTTACTAACACATCACCTTACAGGACAGTGACTGTGTGTAAGAAGATCACCACTTTGAACACTGGTTTTAGAGGATGAGGGAAAACTGTTTAGATGGTTTAGAGAATGGAATAGCCTCCAGGAGCCATGGCCTGGATTCAGTGACCCAGGCAGACCCTCCCTCTATTTGCTGATGTAAATCTCTTCACCTTTAAACAGCTGAAGGAGAGCAGAACATTGTTTGATCTCTTTAAGGAGCTGCTTCCAGACAAAGTCAAAATTCTGTTACTCACCTAAAGAAAATTTACCCTCTATGACAATTTCTATACTGTGTAAAACAGCCTTTAAATCACAAGAGTTATCCAGGCACAAAGCCAAGGAGGATATAAATCGGAGTTAAAATCTGCACAGCAGTAAGACTGTGTAATGTATTTCTGTTTTTACTTGTTGCCAGTTACTAAGTGTTTAATTATGGCTATTGCAAATATTTAAATTGAAGGAGACTGTCACTGGCATTAGAGTCAGGCAGCTGCTTTTAAATGCTCTCACAGCATTGCATTTCTTGTTTCTTATTGAAGCAAGTCTAATGGAATTCTTTTGTTGCCATCTAGCTGTGAAAATCACTTCCACAACCTGCAAGTCGATAAAATGTGCTGCATTTTTCACTCAAAGTAAATACTATAGTAGTCCCCAAAAGCAATGTAGGTAAGGCTCATGCTCCATAGCAAGAGTTAAGGAGCACAGGAGAGTGAAAAGAAGAAATCATAGCAGCAGAGCGACAGAGAAAAGGGAGCTATGACACCATATTTACACTCTAGTAGGGGAGTGTAAAATCTTTAAATGCCAAATCCTTGTTGGCAGAGTTTGTCTTCCTTTCTGGTTGCTCAGTGTTCTTTTGCATTGTATTCCAGAGCAAAGTGGGGACTGTAACTCCTCCACTTTTCAGGGGCTAGCAGTTGACAGCTGACAGTCTTGGCCTGGGATATAGCACAGCTGGACTTCTTAAAAATTTTCAGGAGAATTTAAAAAAGAAAGAAAGAAACAAAAAAGCCTCAAAAAGAAAATAGGAAGGTCACGTGGGAATTGTGAAGCATCATCACACTGCAGGCCTCTCCCCCTGTGATTTTGGACCCAATTTCAAAAATCTTAGTGATTTGCAATCAAGCTGATTCATAACTATTTCCTTCTCCATGTCTTCCCTGCTCTCCAATGAAAGGAATGAGGAATAAATGAATCTCAGTAATCTAGCTGTGGAACTTTTACCTTCAGAAGTCACAAACAGCCTTATTGCTGCTTTAGGATCTGATGCATAAAGTCATCTTCAGAATCGAAGTTTTGAGGAATGTAAAAGACTGAGAGTAATTTGAAGAAAATATCAGTGTATTCCTATGCTGATATTTTTGTATCAATGCAGCCTATTGATTTTTCAGTGATGGCAGGGCGGAATACACAGACTAACACAGCAAATACCACCTTCCTCCTGACAAGCATGTGTAACTTGATGTTGGAAACAGCAGATCCTGTCCAAAATCACTCTGCCCCTGGCTCCTAGAGCACCTTCTCTAGTATTCCTGTTCGTCAGCTGACCCAGTGCAGAGCCATCAAAGGTCTGGTAGGACTTGTTAGTGTTGTATTACAAGTGTAACACCACTGGAGCCAGGTGAGCGCTGAAGCCACACAGCTGCACTCAGACTGCTGCCTCAGCTGGTGTCTGTGGCAGGGACCATCCACCTCCTGGTTCATCCCCACACAGATAATTGAGTCAGCGATGCCTCTGCACTTGCTCTGTGGAAACACAGGTGGATGAATAATTCATGATTCATTTACACATTTGTTACACTATTTGCAGCCAAGAAGATGAGGCTAAGTGAACAAGGCTGACTGGGAAATCATCTATCAAAACAGAGTTACAAAACCAGAGGTTTCACCTGTCTGATCTCCATGACAGACTCATTAACAAATGTTTTTAGTGCCAAAAGCTGCACATTCCAGAGATCTCTTCATTTGGTGCAAATTGTCAGAGCACAGAAGCCTCTACATGGAACTGCAGTGTGAGGAGGGGTAAGGAGTACCTGAGGAGGATGGAGAGGTCTTTGCACTGTGATGATCATCAGGTGCAGGTGCTCAGTGCTCACGTAACACACTCACTGCTCACATAACACACTCACTGCTCGTAGCATTTGGCTTCTTTTCTGCACCAGCCCCAGTAACCAGACAGAGCCCAAGTGCCAAGCCAGGTAACACAACCTGCCCTGGAGAACACAAGTGTTCCATTATTTAAACGAAACCAAAGACACAGAGATGGCGATGCTGGAACGGCAAGCAAAAAAACCCACAAACCTAGTAGAAATCTTGAGCACTCAGGGGAGGAGAAGGTTTATCTACAAACAGCCCAATGGGCAGTGAGAATCCAGGGAAGGCCAGGCAGTCCTTACACTAAGGGAACGCCTTTATGACAGCGAGATGAGTGCGCACAAAAACCTCTGCGGCTGTGACACATCCCATCAGGACTAACCCCACCTCCAACAGGTGACACCTCCCGCACTGACAGCGCGATGGGAACGTTCCCAGAGGCCTCGCAGGGGGTGGGGGAACCCAGGGCTGTAAAGCGCGGACAAACCCTGCCAGCAGGAACACTTTTCCGAGAGGCAGAACCATCCCAGGGATGAGAGGACAACGATCCCGGGAATGATTCCGATCCATCCCCGGGGCTGAGCACAGACCCACCCCCCCCAGGCCGCGGTACCCGCTCCGCCCCTTCCGCACTCCAAACTACAACTCCCAGCATGCCCCGCGCCCAGAGGGGGGGCGGGA